TTGATGGTCCGGTAGGGACGCGATGCGGTGCCGCCCCTCGCCGCCAGGCTCCGGGAGGAGCAGGGATGGGCGCCTGGCTGCTTCCACGGAGCGTGCGCCGCTCAGGAGCGCGAGGCCCTGGTCCCCAGGAGAAAGATGCCCAAGGTGCCTATCTGCTCCCCTCGGGAGGGTTTCCCGGGGCGCCAGGTCACCCCCTCCCGAGCTCTCGGGCCCCGGTTTACTGGGCGAGACCGGACCCCCCCTCCCGCCCGCGCGCTCGGCGGCCCTGCCCCGTAGTACGCGCGGAGTAGCCTTAGAACCGAGATTTAAGCGCTGTTGGCTTTTATTTCAGGCTCCCACCTCGCTCCCTCCACCCTTAATGCACAGGACGCATCTTGCTGCTTAGAGATTTTGTTGGTTTAGCGCTACCCACCCTGGCAAACCTAAAACTGGATGCAAGACTTACATTTTCTGCTCAGAACGATCAATGCACTTCAACCATTAATCACCCCCCCACCCCCCCGATGTTAAATTAAGTGCAGTGGGTGAATGTGTTCTAAGCATTTTAGTTTTTAATAGTCTGTCTTCCACTTCATCCGTATCCTTTTGTTTATCTCTCCCGTCGGGCTAAAGTTGTTCCGCTTTTATTATTTTGTTACATCCTCTTTTGTTACATTCAATAATTTTGTGTATTTCCCTTCATCCTTTTCAGTCTTTCGGGAGTTAGATTTAATTACATTTTGATAATTAACGTAAGTTTCTTGTTGAGAAAGTTAGCAGGGATGCACATTTATAGAAAATCTGTAGATTTGCTTTGGAAAGTAACTTCTAGTTTTGTTAAGGTGGGCATTATATTCTCTTTTGAATTCAGAGTTGGGAAAAACTAATCTCAAATGAGTAGGGTTCACAAGAGGGATTCATTTGCAAATTGTTAGTACACAGAAAATTTTCTTTCTAATACAGTATAGAGTTCAACACTTAAAGGTAGGTGTGGGAGATAGGGGAAAAATGATGGAAATTATTGTACTTACTAACACGACTTTAAGGAAATTGCTTTCCTTGAATGTAAAAACGATAAAATTAATATGTCTCTCACTGATTCGTGGTGGTCTCTTTTTACAATTTTAATTTCTTTCTGTTGGCCTCTTTTTTAAACTGTTTAACTAGGAGCAAATTGACTTAACATAATGTCTGCAGATAAGGTAAGGAAAATGCTTTTCTAGTTCTTAAACTGAATTGACCCAAAGATCATTTCATGATCCAGTTGAATTTTGAGATGGGTAGATTGGTATTTCATATATATAGATTTCTGGTTTGTGGTTTCAAATCTTAGATTAATTATATTTGGTATGAAATGGAAAGTAAGGATTTAATAATGTAAAGCATTATACTACTGCTCCAACAGCGTGGATGTGAATCAGCCAGGGGCTTAGTTGGGCAAAGATGGGCATTCTACTCTTTTGTGACTTACAGAAGCCTCTGAAAATCCACTGGAGGGTCAATTTTAAGTCAGTTATGACTTATAAAACCTATATGTCTCAAAGGCATATAATAACATTTACATGTTAAGGATTGACTTAGCTCATTATAAACATACAAATAAAAAAATGGATACTTAGGGGGAAAAACTCTGGGAACTATGGAGTCAAATGCAAGTTATTACCTTTTTGTAAATTTACTTGTGTTATAAAACGTGTGTGTGTGTGTGTGTGTGTGTGTGTGTGTGTGTGTGTGTATTTTTATTTATTTATTTATTTAAGAATCTCACTGTTTTAGGGAGCTCTGGTGGCATATTCCATAGGGAGTGCTGACCCAAAACGCAGGCTTCTGTGGCGTTTGGAATCCACCAGTCACTCCAGTGGAGAAAGATAGATAATCTTCCCTCATGTGATTGAGATCTTTGGAAATCTGCTGGAGGGTCAGCTGTGAGTAGGTTCTGACTCCACAGCACTGCTTCAATTCATCTTATCCAGGGTCTTCCTCTTCTACTCTCACCCTCCATCATTCCAACCATAATGCTCTTCTCCAAGGACTGGTCTCTCCTAGCAACATGCCCAAAGTATATTTGCTCCAAGGAGCAACCTGGTTTTACCCTCTCTAAGATAGATCTGTTTATTCTTTTGGCAGTCGATGATATGTTCAATACTCTTCTTTAGCACCATGACTCAAAGACTTGATTCCTCTTATGTTATCTTTAGTCATTGTCCCCCTCTTTGATGCATAGCAAGAAATTGAGAGCACCATGGCCTAGATCAGTTGCACCATAGTCTTTATAGTGACACCATTACTCCTTTGCACTCTGGAGAGGTCTCTGACAGCATACTTTCCAGAGCACTATGTCTTTTTTTGAATTCTATTTGTCATTAAAGAAGATTCTTTCTATTTGTTATTAAATTGCATAAGGAAGCAATTTAAAAAATGCATCCTTAGCAAGTGAGTGTATTACATATCACTTCTAAAAAGCAGAGTTTTAAAGTGGTGACATTTGGATCTGGTTCATTATGACCTAAATGGCTGTGACCTTGATGATGTGTGCTTATATAGTGTGGTCATAAGTCAAAAGATACTACCCTATATTGCATTCTTAGAACTTAGTCTGAGAAAAATAAGCAGATGTGATTCTTACATTTTCAGCAAGGCTCAAACTCAAAGCTCACTGTCTTCAAATTGATTCTGAGGTACAGTGACCCTGCACTGTAAATTAAGGGAGGAGACTGCCCATCTTTCTCCCTAAGAACATACCAATGTATGTTCAAACTGTTGGAGATATGAAGCCTTGGGGTTAGCTGTGCACCTGCTATGAACTATGCCACCAGATCGGCCTTTTTATTGAGTACCTGTTTTGTGTCAGAGGCATTTTACATACATTATTTCTAAATTTTAGTATAACTCTTTAAAGTAGATTTACAGACAAAATGTTCAGAGAAGTGAATTAATTGTTCAAGATCATATAGCTAATAAATGGCTGCACTGTGTTTCAAACCCAAGCCTCTTCCTACAGAACTCCTGTTCTTTGTCACTTACTAAATTTCTTCAGTGACTTCTTTGACCCTTTTAGAGCAGTAATGCTAGTCAGTTCCGACTTCTGTGACCCCCATGTGTGTCAATAAAAACTTCAAAAACCTTAGCATTCACAGTGGTTTAAAAACCTTAGCATTCACAGTGGTTTAAAAACCTTAGCATTCACAGTTGAGTTTGCATTCACACTTGAGTTTGCAACTAATAGTTAACCATTTGTTTAACCCAGTAGTCTTAATCATAGGCAGCAGACAGTCCTCAAGTTATATCCAACCTGTAGTTCTAAATGAACCCTAAATTTAGAATACATGCAATTGGTCATAGTAACAGTAGATACTAACTTTGTAATACACAGCATAACATAGTTATTACTACTGTATTAGTAGTACAAAGATGTATTTGTGTGCCTGGAAGTGTTCAATTTCTTATGCATAGAAAGATGAACTATATTTGCTGAGACAGACATTTGACTAACTCACTAACTAGAACCATACTGGACTAATTTATGTGCATAATGGATTTATAGACAGATTTGGATTGGAATTAATCAATAATCAGAGGATTGCTTGTATATACTTGCTTCTCATTTGTACTGCTAGTGCATGCATTTTTTATTTATTTCTTTATTTTACAGCTTGGGAATAATCATTTATTCTTTTTTTAAAATACTAGTTTATTTACAGAATTTGAATACATTGATTTCAAGAGCGGATTATTCCAATTTGCCTCATCCCCTACTCTTTAAATTGTGTAATTTTATACTTTTATTTCATAATTTTTACTGTTTTTTCTAGATTCTCAATTTCTTGAAGTTGGTCTTAATCTTTAATTCCATTATCTTAATCTCTGAATTCTTAGGCCTTAACATTGCAGTACCTAGCACATGGTTGTTACTCAATATATGTTTAATTTGGATTTAAAAATAATACTTAGCAGTTGAATAAGTATTGTGCTTTGTATTGTTTTTCAGTCACATCTCTTGAAGTAAATGTGTTGTTAAATAGGTATACTATCAATATGCTCATGCGACCATAAAAAGTGCATAAGTAACTTTTATAAATAATAGATAAATACATTTGAAACAAGCACTTATGGATTGCATTATTTTGTGGAGTGCACTCTATGCTTTCATCGTTTTTAATTTAGTATTTTCAGTAATTATTTTTTTGAGAGATATATTTTACTAATATTAAAGAGTATATTAACCTGATTAGTCTGATAGCTAATAAGTGAAAAGTAATCATTTTTTAAAAAGTGATGATAATATACTATTAAGTGAAAAGGCATATTTTTCATAATAAACTTAGAAATTAAACAGATAATAGAAAGGAGCATCATGTTAGACCAGATTGACTTTGATTTAAGTAATGGCTGAAGATTTCATAGAAATCGAGTTCAGGGAATTCTGACTATTTAAGTGAAAGGGAGTAATAGTCTTATAGTTACGTTATTTTTTTTTATTCAGAATATATGTGGTATTACTATTTTCTTTGTTTCTTTCAGATAAAGTGGGAAAATGCATTTAACTTCCTATCTTTTGTAAATGACTTTTATATTCTTACATATGCAAGCTCTGATAGAAATAATTTTTCTTTCTTCTTTCTTTTATTGTGATCTGGGTGGCAGTTTAAGAGGCAAATCAGTTTTCCATTCAGCAGACTATACACATTTTCTTTTATGTCATTCATCGTAGTCCCCGTCTGGTAGCATCACTCATACCACCTTCTGCCTCTGTTTTCCTTTTCTGGTTCCCTTTCTTCTCCACCTCTTTCTTCCTATTGAATTTTGTCCATTGGCAAATCTTGCCTCCCCTGTGTTAAATATTTGATTATTCTGAGGTGTGCATGCCTTTCAGTGTTAGTCCTCTCTATAAATGCCACTATTGTTTGGCTGAAAATTGAGCCACGGGGATGGTTCTACCAGTAATGAATCTTTTTTATTATTTTGTATTTTATTTTTGTACCTACCTTGCACCATCTTCACCATCTTTGATGAGTTTCAGCCCATTGTTACAGTCTCTGTGCTTGTCCATCTTGTTGAGGGACTTCCTCTCTTTCTCTGATTTTCCACAAGTCCTAGCATGATGTTGTTTTTCTCTCACTCTATTCAGGAACTTCTCCTGGGATCCCTTTCAGAGTGGTCAGGAGTGGTATCTGTGCCTGTTGTTGTAAGGTGCTGCCAAGTTGATTCCAACCTTTCCTTATTTTCTACCATTCAGCATCTGCAATGCTAAAACCCATTGCTGTCACTATCTTTCATTAGGTCTGTAACTTTCCCC